GAGGGCCAGCATCCTAGACTTTTTAATTAAAAGAGAAATACAGCATAGTTCTTAAAATTCACCTTGAACATTCTTCAGATTTCATCACTATTCTTTAAATGTGGGAAAGGATTACGAGTTTTTAAAATTTTTCCACAGGTATCTATCTAGTCATACAGGAGTCTTTACAGTAATGAAAGCAAGTGAGTTAATTCCTTATTCAAAAACATTCATTGCTTATCACACAATGCGTATTTTTCTAGATGCTTTGGGAAGTTAAAGCTAGTTGGTTAAAATAATCATTTCTGGTTTCTTGGAAACAAGTAAATACTGTTGGCATCTTCAAATCACTGTTTGCATAGCACTGTCTACACAGAATATGCTGATTTAAACACCCATCTCTAGGTGACTGGAGGCATGGAGTATATTTAAGATCATAGAGGTCTTAGGGAAATACCTTGTTTGCCCCACATTTATGCAGCTACAAACTTGAACCTGAAAGTCAGTAAGAGTACGTCCTCTTACAGTTCCAGCTTCCACCAGTGGCCAGTGGCAGTTAGGCAAGTGCTGAGAACACTGCAGAAGTTCAAGGAATGCTGATGACTAAAGGCTTGCTGTGTACATGCGGCAGATCCCAGCAGCCTCTAGACCACAAATCATGAGCTGTTTGACTCCTCACCTTAATGTCCATCAGGCCTCCCATGACTCAGTGCCTTGCTGGTTTCCCTGGCCCCACCTGCCCTGAATCTTCACAAGTTCTCCCTGACCAAACCTAACCCAATGCCTTGTACCTGCATCTGAGATGTGTCCCAGTAACTCTACTCCAGTACCTTTTAAAGTTCTAACCTTCCGAAGTATTTATAAAACTGTTGACTTTAATTTGAACCGTTTGCCTACCTTTTATTATTATTATTATCCCATAATAGTTATAGAAAAGATGGGGGAAACTGAAAAATGACCACATGTCAACCTAGTATAATTACTGATGGTACCAACATAAGGGCAAGAAAAGAAACAGTAAAACAGGAAGTACATTTTTTGAAAATCCATAAAATAATTAAACATGTTTATCTCTTGGCTTGTGAAAGAGGAAACTTAAGTTTCTAGAATGTTAAATTATGACAAAAAACCTCACCTTCAACAGTGCTGACTTAGTACAGCACAGATTTATTTAGATTCTTCCCACCCAAAAAAACCTTGATTTTTAATTTTTAGTCATATGAACATACTAAATTTCATGTTACATATTACTTAGCAAATGCAGATATGCAGCCTACATAGTTTTTTTTTTTTTTAAGGTATTAAACTTTTCTTAAATTTATTTGAATGCCTCCTAAACACACTCATGGAGTCAAGTTTATGTCTTCGCAAGTAACAGCAGATCATGTCCCTAAAAATTTACAAATAGAAGATATGTATCTGAAAGTTAAAACTCAGGCCTTTTATAAGTAGCCACTGAAAACTTTTTTTTTTTTTACAACAGTTTATTTTTACATCATTTTGTACATTTTTTTCTCCATCTCAATTGTAATCCCCACGGGTTTCCCATCACCAAGTCACCCATGTGCCATCACCATAATCCCGTGCACTTCCTTACCCCCCCCAAACCCCCCACTTTTGATCCCATTCCCCACTCCACCCCCACAAAATGTCTCTGGCATATGGTTGTTCATTACTTTTGTTATTTTCTCGCCTGGTCCATTATACTCCTGCTATGAGTGAAACCATCCGGTATTTTTCTTTCTCTTTCTGGCTTATCTCACTAAGCATGATCTTTTCCAGCTCCATCTAAGTTGCTGCAAAAGACATGTGTTTCTCTTTTTTGTTTTTGGTTGCTAAGTAATATTCCATTGTATATATGTACCACATCTTTTTGCCACTGAAAAACTTTTAAAACATCAAATGGGTTTATTTGAACTTCCTCTTTACAATAGTAAAAACAGTTGTACTGATTATTGGAAAATGGTATTTCATCTAAGACGTTAAGAACTTTGCCATAAATACAGATGAAACAAAATAAAGATGAGAAGCAAAATGATTATAAAGAAATAGGGTTTGAAGAACGTTGTGGCTTTGTGTGACATTCACAGATGAGCCCTCTCAGTCGTTTGGAACAAGCCTATACAAACCAGCACTAATTCTTGAAATCTTATCTTACCGACAATTGTGAATGAAATAGAAAAGTGTATTGAGGTTTTCAATGAAATGCTCATTCATTGCATCAGAAAGGTGGAAGAAATATTTTGAAGAAGTCTATGAAATTCAGAAACACTGGCCCATTGCAGTGATGAGTCAGGGGGCAAAGCATGAAGTGGTACATAACAGACATCAGTGATGTCACATGGAAAGTCTCTGCTTCGTTCTTCATCTATGAATGACTTTAGACAATGAAGCTTCATTTCATCTTTTGAGAAAGATGCCAATAAGCCAAACAGCAAACTTAGAAAAGACTTTTTATAGAAGATAGGTTTCCAGGGTGGGTAGCCTTTCAGCCCTACTTCCCACATTACTTCTCTCTCACAAAACCACACGCTCTTGATGACTCCAGAGCATCAAGAAAATGTCTGTTCACATAGGCTATCCATGAAGCATATTAAACTCTTTAGAAAGATTTCTCGTCTGTGACTACATTTTCTTAAGTTCAACACACAAGGGTTTAAATTTCAGCTGTCTGAAACTACCTTTCTGAAGTGCCACACTGACTGATTGGACAAAGTGTGAACTAGAGAAGGTGGAGTAAGTGAAATCTTCTCTGCCTTGGGGACGACCTGAGTGTGTGCTGGATGATGCTAGATTAGCATGATCCGCAGGTCTGGACAGCTTCATCATTTTTATTTACATCATGTTTTTTCACATCGAGTAATTTGGGGTGTATCATCTGGCTCTTTTCTTTGTAGGATTCCATTAGCCAGCAGAGCTTACATCAAGACAGCGGGACTGAGATCTACCATCGCATGGGCAATGGCCTCGCTTGCTGAAATTAAGGTAAGAAGTGTATTTTCATTCTCATGAGTAGTGAGATTGTTTCCATAATTAAATCACATTCCCTTATTCTTGGCCTTGCTTTTTTTTGGTTTCTTTTTTCCTTTCTTATCCTTTTACTTTTTTCATTCTTTTTGTTGCTTATATACTTACAAACTGCCACAGTGAATTTTTTATATATATTGTTGGACTACTGAGGGTGTTTTGGCTGTGAAAAAGCCAAGTCCAAAGATTGCTGCATTCTGTTATTTGATTTTTGCGGTACAGTCATGTGGCCTGAGAAATCTCTAGTTCTTAAAATTGTTTTTCATTGTACCAGGTTCTCGATCGATTTTTGTAAATGTCTCAAGGACAAAGAAAATAACTTTATTTTCTAGTCCAGAAATGCCATCCATGTCTTTGCTTATTATTTTACTGTCTGCTCAGTTCTGATAGAATATTTCAAAACCTCATAACATTCTTTCATTTGTCTGCTGTGTAGTTTGATCTAGACACACTGCTGACTGTTGCTTCATCAGGAATCAGTGCCGTTTTGTTACATAAAGTAATCTATCTTGAGTGAATTTAAACTTAAATTTTACTGTATCTTGAGTATTTTCACTGCTCTCATTTCCTGCAAGTGCCTGTTCTTTGCTTTCATTTCAGCCTTGTTTTCAGTTTGTTTTTTACAAACACACAGCTGTTTTTATCCCACCTCATGGTCCCTGTCTTTCAATGAGAAAATTCAGGATTTTCATAGACATATGTGATTGTACTTCTACTATTTTACTCTGTTTATAACCCCTCACTCTGATTATTTTTTTATTTTTGCTAATTTGAGCAAGTTATTTTATAAATATTTTATTGCTCTTATCCATCAATGCTTCTCTTTCTCAGCTCTCTTAAAAGCATAGGACTCTACGTCAAAACAAGAAATCACCTCTTTCCTCTGCAAATAGTTTTTACCACCAAGCGATCGCCCCACCTTTTCCGTCATCCCTGTCATAATTGAGACTAGAAGACTTTTTTCTCTTCTGCTCCATGTTCACTTCTCCCTACACAGTAGGCATTTCTTTGACTGTTAACTAGTATTGCTTCAGCTCTTTCCCTTTAGTTAGTTCACTCGTGAATTGCTTTCTTTTTTTGGCTTCTGGAATTTCTGATACAAACACGGTCAGCTTCCTAATCTGTTACTTAGTGACTTTTCTTACATGATCACTATCTCTTTATATTTTCTCTCTCCATTTTTTTTTTTTTTTGATTTGTTCATACAGAACTGGGGTACAGGCCAGAGGCTCAGGGGCAGCGAGAGGCTTCACCAGAGACAGAGTGGGGAGCAGAACAGGCAGATCCACCAAGCACACTGCTGAGGGGAGCAGCGGGCGGGTCAGGAGAAGTCTGCCACACCATGTGGTCACCTCTGGGGCAGGTGGGAATCGAATTCATGTGGAAGTGGCTTAAGCTTTTCAGTGCTGTGCTTTAACCCGCTGCGCCACCAGGGAAGGCCCTCTCTCTCCATTTTAAGTTATTCTTGAACATGCTCTTCCAGGTTATAACAGGATCAGAGAGTGATGCTTTAATCATTGCAATTTTGAGCTTAAAAGTTAGAGGCTTTTGCTTTGGAGAGTTGTGTGTGTGAAGTGTGTGTAGTGCAACACTTGATTCTCTCTAAAAGCCCCTACTTTTGCTCAGATCTTTATTGGTCTTTTCTAGTAGTTCTGTATATTCTGAATGTTCTTCCTATTTACTCTCTCGCTATTAAGGGTCTTTCTCCCCATAAGTATGTCATTACTATTATTTTATTTTCTTTTAATCCTCTAGGGCTCTACCGTTTTTTTTGTTCAGTATTTTAAATGGGCAGAATCCTATAACTAGCAAATGACAAATAAAAGTCCGGTGCCACTGAGCTTAGCTACCAGCCATGCGCGCACATCAGTGCAAAGGTCTCTGAAGACCAAATTCTGTCCTAGTTCCCCAACTTCCAAAAGTGACTCTCCAGTGCTGGTTTGGTCACCTACTGAGCCCAGGGTGAGGATGACCCCTACCATTGCTTCTTCTGGGGCTTCTGTGGCCCCAGGACAGCCTAGAACTTGTCTTAGAGCCGGTTCCTTCTAGGTCTACACATACTTGATTCTGGAGAAGAAAACAGCTTAGTGTTGAGCAAAATCAAGAAAATTAGTTTCAGATTACCATTTCCCCAGAGTCCACTTTTTTTGCTTTTTTTATTTAAATCTTTAGTCCAGATTTCTTCATTAGGACAGTTCATTTTTTGCCAAACTGCCAGTGATTTCATTAGTTTCTAGTTAAATGTTTTTATATAAAATTATCTACAGATTTGAAAGATTACCTTTATCATGAGAAAAGTGTACATTTTTCAGAAAAGTAGAAAGTAAATGATCAAAAATATCCAAGGTCGGCCCTCCCTGGTGGTGCAGCGGGTTAAAGTGCAGCGGGTTAAAGCACAGCACTGAGAATCTAAAGCCGCTTCCGCATGAGTTCGATCCCCGCCTGCCCCAGAGGTGACCACATTGGCGTGCAGACCTCTCCTGACCCGCCCACTGCTCCCCTCAGCAGTGTACTTCATCGATCTGCCTGTTGTTTCCCACTCTGTCTCTGGTGAAGCCTCTCACCATCCCTGAGCCTCTGGCCTGTACCCCAGTTCTGTATGAATAATTAAATAAATCTTAAAAAAAAAAAAAATCCAAGGTAATGCCCAATAACTTTTCTTCTGCTGCCAGCTAGCCTCGCAAGAACCAATGTAAGAAACATGTCTTTAAGTGACACCAGCCAAGGAGGGTTCACGGGGAGCAGCACAGTGGAGCACTTCTGGGGAAGGTGGTGATGGCCCATGAGGGACCCCAGTTCTGACAATGATCCAGTGCCCTCTTGCTACCACAGTAGCCTTTGCCACTGAAAATGACATTTAAACACTTCATTGGGATTATTCCATTAGTATACATATTTTTTTCTAAATTTTTTTTTCTAAATAGTTCTCTTTACATCTCTTTACATCCTAGACTTTCTCATACCCAGAAGTATATACCTTTCTAAAATCTGTTCCAGGAATCCTGCTCTTAATGCCTCATTCCTGCATCTCTCTAACTTAGTTCTTTGATCCCATGGGATCCCTAGTCATAGAATTTCCCCCCCAGTCCCACCCCCACCACTATCCACTACTCAAGCCTGTCCTCATCCTCCTTCCCAGCTGGGGTTTTGTGTTCTGTTAGTCATTTCCTTGCCTTGCTTAAATCTCTTGCTTCTTACTCAACTCTTGGCTGCAGAAAAGAGCTTCACCATGCCCCTCTCAGAAAACGTACTTATACATTAGACTCTGTGCCACGTACTTTGCCATATCGGCATTACAGTGACTGTCCTTGTTTTTCTCTGGAACCTGGGTGCTGGATTCTAGTCCTTTTTGTCAGCTTAAGAGTTTTCTTAAAAGTCATTCTAATCAGCATGTATAGACTTCTGCTGTAATATTTCACAATTTAAAAAAACCCTCTCCTAAATCCACATGCTATTTCAGCTACCACTTTTGCTATCATGTACAGAAAAACTCAACAGATTCTTAAACCTATACAATGTTGTTGTCAAAATAAAAAAATTACTGTGTATAGAATTTTCATTATCTATGATACATTCAATTAGTCAATTGTAAAAAGTAATGAGTTTGTAATATACCACATTTATCATTCATTGGAAGCTAAGAAAGGCTCTTTTAAATTTTCTTTCTTATAAAGGTCAGGGGAAAAAGTTTACTTTTTTAAGCTGAATTAAAAAGCATCAAGGTTGCAGACTATTTTTGATGTCTTGCATCATTTAATTACTAATTTATTTTTGTGACTTTACTTTTTTGGTAGAGGGCAAGAAAACCTGCCTGCCAGCTCTTTTTCTTTCTAGTAGCCATTCGGGGGAGGGGCTCTAGGTGGATCTGGAATGGATGGAATCTGTATTGTTTATACAGAAATTTTTAACTCACAAAGATAACCATGCTTGCATATGAAACATACATATAGAGGGGTTTAGATACTGTTGTGTACAAACATAGATGTTAATATGAATAAATATACAAGATTAACTTGCATGCTATAGATGACTGCAGATAACGCCTATCAAAGATTCTCAGGAGTGTCTGGTGACTTTATTCACATACTGTTCAATGTGAACTTCTTTCCAGTTATTTCTGTTAGGTCAGAGAAACATCTACATATACATATTTATAGACCCATAACTTTGTCATAGGAAACAGAAGTCCTGAGTATAGGGCTTAAAAACAGTTGTCCACATTTGGTATCTCCACTTCTTTTTCCCTTTTCTCGTGTGCACTTCCATCAAGCTTTCACTGCCAATACCCCTCGGAAACTGTCAACTTGTCTAACTGACATATTCCCACTTTAACATCATCACTCTCCTTTCTGAAGTATCTTTTCCATTTTGTTCCAGTTTCTTCACCATACACACTGCTCTCAGAGCTTCGTCTGCCAAGCATCTATACTTAGGAGATTTTTGGGGTCCAACTCATGTACTTTTCTTCCTTCCTAGCTGACACATACAGCTCTAGAGCTTTAAATATCATCTCACACTGACCATCCCCAATTTACATTTGTAGCCCAAATTCCAGACCATAATGTCCAATGACTCACTTGACATCTATACTTGTTCTAAGCAGTAGCTCAAAATTCACGTGTCCAGAACTGTATTCGTTTTGAATCTTCCTGTCTCTGTCTCCTCCTATCTCAGTAACAGGCAATTCTGTTCTTCCAGTTGTTCACATCAGAATTTTGGTTCTCTCAGACTGTTACCATTGGTTCTCTCAGACTGTTACCATTCTTTAAAACCCCACATCAAATACATCTTCTTTGAAATATATCTGGATCACTTCTCAGTGTTTTGGCTAAGATCCAGTGGAATATATTTGGAATCCACCCTCCACCCTCTTCTTCCCCACCTTCAAACGACCACCAGCTCTTGACTGGACCCCCGGGTGGCCCCCCTTTTAACACTTTCACCCCTCTGTGGGTCTCTAGCCCCTGTCATGTTATGATACTATGATATTCCTCTCCTCAGAGCCCTCCGGTACTTTCCCATCCATCAGAGTACAACAAGAATCCTTACAGAACCTCCCAGATCTGACATGACATGACCTCAAAAGTGGGAATAATGAGTTTAATCTCCAAATCTCTACTAGTCCTCCCAGGTAGAGGTAGGAAATGGGCATCATGTGATTGACAAGCTCTTGCCAGTTAGATGTCAGTGCAGTAGTGTGTCGTTTCCAGATGGCACTATTAAGAGCCACTACAGTCTGTCTTGCTTTCTTTTGCTCCGCCACACTTATGCACACTTCATCAGCTGGCTTCCCGAGTGAGGAACAGAGGCCCCAGGAGTCCCCAGGAGTTACAGGCAGTGGGCATGTAACAGGAGTTATGTGTTGTTTTAATGTCTCAAGTTTGGGGAAGCGTTGTACATACCCTTCTTCATGGACTCACCTTGCTGCCTCTTTGATGCCATCATATTTTCCTTCTCAGGGTGCTCTGGCCACAGTGATCGCCTTCTTCTTAATATTTAAACCTGCCAACATACACCTGCCTTTAGACTTTAATGATCTGAAATTCCTTATAAAGCATAAAAGGAAAGCTGTAGTCCTGAGATATAATTACTCAAGTTTTAAGTTTTTATTATAAAACCTATTATGATAGATTTAGTGATACCAGATCTTTTTTTTTTTTTTTTTTTTTTTTTTACTATAAGGTGGTACATTTGTTTTAGATCCGATGTGTGGACTTAGAAGTGTTCTTCTGGAAGCTGCCAAAGAATGGCCAGTAAGTTCTCAAGTCTGATAAGGGCAATGTATTTACTTTAATCAGCATGTATCTGTCTTTACAAATATAAAAATACACATATAAACATATATATACACACACACACTGTCAGTAATTTATTTTCAGGTTATTATTTTTAATTATGAGTTGCTATTTATTTTTATGAAGGGTTATTTGAACTTTTTTTTTTTTTTTTGGCTGAACAGGGGTATAGGCCAGATAAGTGGGTGGTGAGAGGATTCACCAGAGACAGATTGGAGAGCAGAACAGGGATTTACGGATTTACCAAAATACACTGCTGAGGAGAGACAGGAGAAGTCTTCCATGCCAAGGATTGAACTCAGGCTGCAGCAGTGACAGCACTAAGACTTTACCCTTAAGCCACCAGAGAAGTCCCTAAGCTGTCTTACTTCTTAAAAGACTGACAAATTTAGGAAAATGTGAATAATTTCATTAATTAGTTATGACAGAGCATGCTAATCCCCAAATTTTTTAGACATGTGTAATTGTAAAATATTAACAGATTTCAAAATCTTAACAAAAGCTACTGATTTTTTCCTAATGACTGTCATTTTTAAGACATATATATGTTTTGGCTCTCCCTGGTGGCGCAGAAATTTAAAGCACAGCACTGCAAACGAGCCGCAGCCACTTCAGTGCGAGTTCTGTCCCCAGCCGAGGTGATCCGCGTGGTGCGGCAGACCTCTCCTTATCTGCCCGCTGCCCCCTCAGCAGTGTACTTCATCAGTCTGACTGTTCTGCTCCCCACTTTGTCTCTGATGAATCCTCTCACTGCTCCTGCGCCTCTGGGCTGTACCCCAGTTCTGTATGACTAAATTAATCTTCTAAAAAAATAACTAAGTGTTTTAACCTGAATTAATGTACTGATTTCATTTTCAGCATTTTGAGAAAAAAAAGTAACTTTCTTAACTACACAAAATAGCCAATAGTTTTATTTATGCTTAAGATGGATTTCTTTCCTTATAGGATGTGTATTATGTGGGTGCTGATGTTAGTCACTCACAGTTACTCGGTGCCTATGACAATCTGAGAGCTGCAGGCCTTAAGGATAAAGTTGAGTTACTTAAAGCCTCTGTCATCGGTAAGGTATTAAAAATGTAAACATCTGGGGAAATGAACATTTGTAAATATATTGAAAATCATAGTATAAAACAAAACTCACTTTTCATATATGAAGGTTCAATTATTTATACCCTGTAATATAATCTGCAGGGCTAATACTCAGCTTACTTCTGATTTAATAGTTGTAATTTTTTAATGTTTCCAAAGAATCATAATTTATATGATTTTCCTGAGCACTTCAGAAAAAGCATGTCTTTTTGAGATGTGTTTGTTACCTGTGAACCACTTGTCGAATCACAAGCAAGGATCACTGATTATGTCAGACATACAATAAGGGAAATAGTTTAACAATATTATTCATAAGGAAATTAATTACATTAATTTAAACAATAATAATGATAATACTCTGGATCACTTTCAGATAAACTGTATGAAATGTTCTGAATTATCTAACCTCCTTGCCTCACTAGCAGTAGCTACCCACCTGCCAGCTCGCTAACTTGGAACTCCCAGTGCTGACTGGGAAGTGTGTTGGGCAGCAGTGGTCATGCTGGGAGGTAAAGGGGAGCCACTGCCACCTATTAATAATGGGGAGTCAGCAGTGATACACATGACTAGCAGTTGAACCTGTTGAGTCCAATTAAAAAAAAATATATTTTCCTGAGACTGATGGCATTTACATTCTTTTTTAAAAAAAAAGATTTATTTATTTATGCTTACAGAACTGAGGTACAAGCCTCAGTGTGGTGAGTGAGAGGATTCACCAGAGACAAAGTGGGGAGCAGTACAGGCAGACTGACAAAGTACAAGGGGAGCAGTGGTAAGTCAGGAGAGGTCTGCCACATTATGTGGGTCACCTCCCTGACCAAGGTTTGAACTCGTACTGCAGTGGCTTCTGAGAGCTTCGTAGTGTGGTGCTTTAACCCGTAGCGCCACCGGGAGAGCCCCAGCATTTAGAAACCTATGCTTCTTATTGCTTTCTCATTCTTAGTACATCTTTCTCCCTTAAAAATGAGCACACTTAATTTCCAGCTAAGAAAATTGTATTCTCCTGACAGTGTGAGTAGGCAGTAGGTAATCCTGATACTGAACCTATAATCTAGAGGAATAAAATGCTATTAAAAAAATGGGAACTGGAAAAGTAGTTAAAAATAATTAACAGGAAGAACATATTAGGGTAACTTTAGTGTAACAACAAAATAAAGCAGCCCAAAAGAAGGTGGTTATATTTCATTTCTTGAAGTTGGTGATAGTTATGTGGGGGCAAGGGAGAGGTGTTACACCTCTTTTAAATTTTTTTTTTAAAGATTTATTTATTTGTGCACACAGAACTGGCGTACAGGCCAGAGGTGCAGGGACGGTGAAAGGATTCACCAGAGACAGAGTGGGGGGCAGAACAGGCAGGTCAACGAAGTACACTGCTGAGGGGAGCAGTGGGCGGGTCAGGAGAGGTCTGCTGCGCCATGTGGGTCACCTCTGGGGTGGGGATCGAACTGATGCTCAAGAGGCTTTAGCTTCTTAGTGCTGTGCTTTACCCACTATGCCACCAGGGAGGGCACCTATTTTTAAATTTTAATAAAATGTTAAAAGAAATTAATCTGTCCTATCTACATGAAGTTTTTTCTTTCAACTTCTAAAATCATTTAAAGCAGCTTAGCAAATTCTAGAACAGGAAATTTACAAGTAAAAAGGGATACCAACCAGGAGAAAATATTATCTGAAGTGAACATATTGGGTAGCGTGTGTATGTGTGCGAAACAGAGTCAGAGTTGAGAGAAACCTCCGCATACTGCATCATTCCTCAGGTATAAAACCTTCGTTACCCATGATTGCCTGCATCGTCTTAACTTCACAAAAAGTATAGAAATAGTATTCAAAGGGACATGAATAATATTTTTAAAGAAATATTATCCTGATGCTTTTTTCCTAACAACCTATTACTGTTTCTTCGGATCTCAGGTGAGGGTTAGAAGTGTTTGCTAGACTTTTCCAGATAACTGTGTGTGTTTGGGGGATTGAGGGGTAAGGGTTAAATTTGTTACCATTAAAAATCTTTATCGTTTAGAATAAAAATTATTTAAATTTTGCATCGCTACAAAATTTTGATGTCATTCAGAATGATAATTGGAACATCTTCTAGCTTATGAATATCTAACTTAATCTGATGATAGGTGGAAGTGAAGTGAGTGAAGAAAATTCAGAAAATATGGACGATTGACTGCATTATCTGGTGATAACCTAGTTTATGAGAAGAGAATATAAAGATAGATACATTATATTTAATCAAACAATGCTGACTTTTGTCTAGGGACTATTCATTTTGATTATGATTATATAGCCTTTTCTCTAGTCGGGGGATTTATGTAGATATTCTTAACCTTTTTGGTCCCCTTAACAAATATCACAAAAGCCATGTGTGATCCCCCTTCAAAACAAGTAGATTATAGATAAAATTTTTATATCTAAATATGAAATGAAAGTTACAGAACATAGTTTGCTAAAGGTTTTTCCAGACAACTTAATATATTTCTTCCAGGGTCTAGCAACTTTCTGTTCATGTAATAGTGGTTAGCGAATTGAATTTTCTACTTAATTTAAAATTCTGCTTAACATGTCATATCATACTGGAAAAACCAATTATCAGAGAACAGAATTCTAAAGCTATACCATTTATCGTTAGTGATTTCTGAAAGCCCTTCAGGTTCTTGTAATTCCTTCGAAACAATACGAGCAGTCCTAAATTTTGTTTAATATGCAAAAATAATTCTGTGCCCTTCAGTTTTCTTATATTTAAGTTGTAAATATTTGAACATTCTATAATAGGATTCTGATTCCTGTATTTCAGAATTGCCATTGCCTCCAGAAAGTGTCGATATTATTATTTCTGACATTCCATTTGGGAAAAAATTTAAGTTAGGAAAAGACATCAAAAGCATTCTACAAGCAATGGAAAGGTAAGTTGTTGAATTTATTTCCATAATTTTTGAGCTCTTGGGCATTTAGCTAAAATATATAATAGTTCAGCTATGATTTGATAATAGGAATTTCAAGAATTTTTATAACTTGATTATCAAATGTTTCAAATCAGAAGTTTGTAATTCACAGTTATTTCATATCATCCAACATTATATTTTATTCAAAACAAAATACTAACTTTTAATTATTGCCTGAATTTGAATAGCTGAAATAGTGACTTACATTTCAGTCACTGAGCTAGGTCATTTACATTTGCTTCTAATCCTCACAAAAGCCCTGCCTCCTATATTAATCCCCTATACTTTACCCATGAGAAACTGGGGCCCAGAAAGATTAACCTCAAGATCACTCAGCTACCAAACAACAAAATTCACCGAAGGAGTGTTCAGTAGCATAGAATGGATAACACTTCAGTTATTGAAATGAAAATGAAAGCAGTATTACTCTTATTATGATATTTAAGGGATTATATTCCAGTGAAAGTAATTCATGTCAAGGAAGATATTCTTTCTGTAAGGAAAATTAAGGTTTGACATGAAGTCTAAGCCCAAATAAGAGCAATTTCACCTCCATCTGTGAGCTGGGTACCATCACTTCTTCCCAGATTATCCTTAGAGATCGGGGTTAAGAAATGTCCTCTGTCGTACAGTTACCTAACTCTTAATTTGTTCTCTGGGAATCCCTTTTCAGGTAGCATTTATAATTCAGACACTCCCCTTCCCCCCTTCTGCCTCATGCCACATTCACCTCAAGCAGACTTTACTACCTTTACTTGAAATTATTTCAAGAATTTTGGAAACACCAATTTTCACTTTCCACCCCTCTCCATAGAGGCTCCGATTTCTTTAGTCTGGATAGAACCCAGATGTCGGCATTTCTTAAACTGGCAGAGGTGATTTTTTTTTTTTTCTTTTTGGGTACAACCCGGTTAAAACCACAGCCTTCACACTGAATGAGGTAATTTGCCATCTGTACAATTAAGCCAACTCATGTGAGACACTAATATGTGTAAGCAGTCACTTGCATTTCCATCTGGAGCTTCCCAAAGATAATGGCTTCCCCTGGCAGTCTAATGGCACCATTGTCACCATCTCCACAGCAATAGGGGGCCGCGTTTTACGTAGCCAGTCCTTTCAGCCTGGGTAAATCATACCAGCCTGACTTTCTCTTTACTAGTTTTGGTCTTTGTATTAGGCAGTTGAAACTGAGATAGTGATAGGGAATAGCTGCCCTCATACCATGTCAGAGAATTTAAATATTTACTTGAGAGTCAGGATTTGAGATTTTCCATATAACTGGAGTGCCTGAGCAGGATCAGTGCAAAGAGTACTTATTTGGACATGAGGAACTTCTCCTGTGGCCAACCCTCCTTACCACCTGCCCATAGCTCTCGTAGTTTGGTTTTTGACTGTTTATGGTTCAAGATTTGAAAGAACAGTTGGACATAAAAACGCATTGAAGAGTACAGGCTTTGGAACTAGAATACCTGGACTCTACCCATTACTCTTACTTCTTCAGGCACAGACTGCTTGATCACTTTGTGCCTCATTTTTAATAATAGCACCATGGATTTGCAGCTCTTAGAACAAACAGTATTTGGCACCTAGGAAATGAGCAGTAGCTTAGCTTTTACCTGATCTATTGTTGTAAAGCACTTCAAATCCTTCTGGGAAGTAAGTGGGGTAAACTAAGTATAGCTAAGGACACATAACTTACCAACAGTTTAGGGCTCTAGATAGAAAATGGAAGGGAGGAGGAATTCTCATAATCAGTAATGGAAATAGTTGACTGAGTAATTCAGAACTGGATTCTCAAAAAAGACTCACAGTCAGAATTAAAGATTGTCAGGAAAGAGATGGCTCTGGTGATGTGAGCTGTGGCTTTCAGCCTTACCTCCACCTTTAATTTATTTCAAAGTAACCATTGCAGGAGTACAGAGCATCTGAGGAATTTATAAAGGTATAATATTTGAACTTTCCTCTCAAAGACAATCATGTAAAACAGGTGAGCGAAATCAGAAATCAAACTTCTGCCTTGTGCCTATAGAGTTTGAGTTGGATTCTGGGATGAAGCAAGAGTTCAGTGAAATGTAGAGTGAAGAGGGGCCCACAACATGTTCTATGCATGCAGATGCCCAAAGACTGTTTCTTGAGTGACTGGTCAAACAAAAGGCCTGTGCAAGAACAATGAACACTCCAGAGTGCCTGGAAGAGAGACTGGTGGTCAAAATAAAATCCTAATGAGTTCCATGGTTAAAGAGTTTGGAATTATTTGTATTGTTTTTATCAATCTTGCAGGTTCATTTTAAAAAAACTATTTTTTGTTTGGATACAGAGTTTCTCCAACTTACTGACCATGGAATTCTTTTTCAAGAATAATCTTTACTACTATACTTGTGTCCAGAGGATTACAGTTTGGGGAAAGTCACTTAATTTCTGCCTAGCTTTCTTAGTAAGAAATTATGTATATGAAGATGGAAAGATGCATGAAAGGCCAATTATCGAAAAAGTTCATTCTCAGTAATGATTTCAAGTGGTTATATACCATTACATAGTCGGTACTTATGAACATTTAGGTAATCACCCATTTTTCATTTAAATAAAGAACAATGATCTGAACACATTTGTAATTTTTTCAAACCTACTCTATGACCACGTCACTTTAATACCACAGTGCCTTTGTTTTTTCACTTGCAAAATGGTGATGCTAATAATGGTCTTAATTCTGAGGACTGAGATTGAATGCAAAGCATTTAAAACAGTGCCTGCACATAATCAGAGGTGTTTGCATGGTTCCTTGCTTCTGACTAGTGTCTACAGCCACACCTGTCTTCAGGGGTTGTATTCTGCCTACTTCTGGTCTTACCTTCAACCTGTTACCTCCTGTTCTTTCCAGATTCAGCCAGCTGTGCCCAGATACTGAGAAGACTTGCCCTCTCAGGCACTGCCTGAGACTTGCATTCCAGGGTGGGACCACAGCTCAGTAGTAAATAAACAGAATAATTTCAGACCATGAAAGGAAGAAACAGGATATTTGGCTAAAGTGAAAGACAGCAGCAACTACCTTAACTAGTGAGAAAGAAAATCCCCGCACGAGGTATCACTGAACTCTGACCTGAGTGGTAGGGAGTCACCCAGTGGAGTGAGAACTGTAGAGTGAATGGGGGCCACGTGGTAACGAGGCAATGACGTTGGAGGTGGGGGAGTGTCAGGTCTATAGAAGCTTGGAATTTAGTTGACGGATATATATATGTATATATATATATGGTGGCATTAGCAAGGATTTACATGTCTTCCTGGCAACTGGGGAGAGTGGGAAGAGCGACAAGCATGGAAAGGAGACCCGTCAGGAGATGGTCGCAGTTGTCACGGCAGGATAAAAGGTCAAGTGAAGAAGGATTATGTGTGATACAACCTGAAAATTGTCTAGACTTGCCCACTGTTTCAATGAGGGAAGCCAGTTAAGCTCCTGCCATCTTTGCTGGTCTAGGGGAGAGCCCCTTTAATTCTTGGTCCTCAATTAATTCTTGGCACCTGTTTCTTTCCTATACCTTGGACTTTCTTGAACTACTCGTCTGCATCTGACACTCATTTCCAGTGCTTCCTGCTTCTGCAGATAAGCATTTGTTCCTGTCGCCAGGGATGCTGTGGTGAAAGCTGCAACTTCTCCCAATTATAGTCAGTTGTTAGTCCTCCAGCATCGGATACTGCTGAAGCCTTTCCCTCTTGGAATTGAGCATTTTGGGCTTCCCCAACATCACCATTTATTAGGCTTTCTGTTTCATGCCTCTTCTGCCCTTCCTTAAATGTTCAGTCTGCTCTTTGATCCTTTTTCTTGCCCCACTCAGTACTGCTCCCTAATGACCTCCACCACGAGGGCTTGATCTACCACTCATTCTTAGAAACTGGAATCTCTCCCTCAAGCCCCGCTTTTTCTCATTACCTCCAGGCTGCAGATCTGGCTGTGGAATTCACACCCATGTGCTTCTTAGGTGCCTTAGCACATCCCAGACAGAACTCTCCTCCCTTCCTCCCACCATCCTCTGACTCACTCTCCTGCTGACTGACTTCAGTGCTTCCTCCTCCTCTTTCTGCCTCTGCTGCTTCTCTGCCTCCAACACCCGCCTCTGCTCCAGCCCCTGGCTGTCACTTGCGTGGTTCTCTCCTCTTTGTCCTTAATTCCCAGTGTAGGTAAATTTCAGCCTTTCTTGTGCCTGGGTTTATGACCCACTGGACTTGTGCCTGGATGGTAACATTTGCCACATTCTTGAACTCATTACTTGTCTCTCTCCCGCCTTTCTTTACTGTTCAGGAATCTCTTCAACTCAGGGGACTGTGTGTTAGTCATTACTTTTCCAGGTCCATCAACTTTGATCAGATGACCCAGTACATGCAGTCTCTTCAACAAGCTGACATTTCAAGGTCTTGTCTTTTCTGATCTTCCCTTTTACAGTCCTATGTGCACATCCTCACATTTCCCAGTGACTCTCTTCTGTCATCAGCCTTGCATATATGCTGATTCTTTAGGATTCTTTCATTCGCCTTTTCCTTTGTACAATCATTTATTAGAATGTGCCTACAAATTACTTTGAGGCTTGCCTTTTAAGTAGAGTAAAAATAGATAATTAAAGCAGATTTGTACTGTGATTCCGTAATTACTATAATGAATATGCATTGTGGAAGATACTACCTAATTATCAAAATCCTTGTATTTAAATAGAGAAAATTAAATTTCAAATTAAAAACACCAAATATTTAAAATAAAGTGGGATGGTTTGCTGTCTAAAAAGAAATACTCATGCCAATTACGTTTGTTACAGAATGCTCCGTGTCGGTGGAACCATCGTATTACTGCTTAGCGCAGATCATTACCAGCTCCTTAGCGATTGTAAGGAGCGTAACATCTCTTTGAGCCACACCAATGAACCTGGAATTGAAAAATGCTTGAATCCCAAAGAAAAAACTGGCCTACCAGACACAGTGGCATCCTCATTAGAAGCCAGTAACCAGGGATGCTTAGACAAAACGCCACCATTTGGCTCTTTAGTGCCAGTGGAGTGCTACAAAGTCAGCCTTGGAAAGACAGATGCATTTATATGTAAACACAGGAAAGTCCACTCCTCTGGCCCACAGCAGACTTGCTGCTCTCAGCCAGGCTCAGGCCCTCAGACTGCAGCTGCACAGCAGTAGCCGGGGGTTATCTCTGGGGCCTTGGTCAAACCCTGAGTGCCAAGTAAACAAACTGAAGACTGGCATCTGGCCATCGGAGCTGGGCATCAGTGCATAGGAGTTTCTGCTTTGTATGCTAAAGAGGTCTGGGTTTCTGACCAAAAACAATGAATGACCAAACTAAAGGACTCAAACTTTGTATTCCATGAGAAGATCTGCTCTCGTTAGGACTGTGTGAGCAAAGCTTCAACTTGAAACGTTTTCAGAAGTTCACAGATTGTGTATTGCTGTCACAACAAGGCTGGTGATATATCCTGACTCAGACTTTTTTAAATACAGAGATGGTTATGTGTTACTTCTTAATTTTGATATTTTGAGCCTACAATTTTCTTCTCCATTGGAAAGTAATTTTTATTTGTAATATATTTTGTTTGTTCCATATTATGTAAAACATCAATGGGGATGATGAAAGTATGAATTAAGCCAACCTCCAACATGATGGAAAAAATTTTTTCTAAAAACATTAATAAATCATACCCTTGATCTTATTTATGTTCAGTGCATTCCTTGTGCTCATTATTTGAGAACTAGAAAGTCGATGAAAACATGATTCACTTTTTTCAACAGCCTAATTCTGTGGCCTAGTTTCTTGACTGCTTTGGTATCATTTGAACAACCTTCCCATGTTTTGGGGAGCTTCTCTTGTGAATTCCACCTCACCAACAAGAAGCAGAAAACATATCTTTCAGGTAGGATGTGGTGTGTAGCCTAAGATTCAGATCAAGGTGCACTAGTCAAGAGACACTAATGAGGCTCAGGTGATGGGTAGAGTTTTTACCTGACAGACAGCTTTTTTTAATAAGGGCAGTGGGACCTGAGCCCATCATACACCCAAGTCCTGACTACTATTTACCTACTGTCTGCCAAGGTACTGTTCTAGGCCCTGGAACACATCAGCAAACCACAGAAAGAAACCTTGTGGTATTAGACATGTCCATGAGAAAGTCGCATTTTCCTCACCCCCCTTACATGCAGTCACCCTAGATGCCAAGTCCCAGTGTGCCATGAACCAGACTGCCTGAAAGGGGCTACTGGCACCTACGGGTGGAGGGGAGCAGCCAGGTGAAGCTACGAGCATGGAAAACAAGCCGGCCCATCTTGCTGTGACCTGACTTAAACCCTAGCACTGCTGGGAAGGAGACTTAGAAGAGAGGAGAGTTGGTGGCATGTAGAGATACTAAGAGGCCAGGGCGAAAGACGCGGGAGGCTGTTGCAATGCCTGGCAGAGACAACGCAACCAAGACCTTGACCTCATTGTGGATTCTGTGTATTTTCTCTCTTCTGTCCCAGATTTCTGGGACCCGCTTAACCCCCTTCTTGTGGTTCTACCATAAGAAAGAAACTATCTTTCTTGTGGTTCTCAGGCATCAGAGGCTGTGCCTCAGGTAAAGCCTCTGGGTTAGGCATTTGCCCACAAGGGGAAGAGGTAGTTGGTGTGGGGGGAGGGGGGTTGGAGAATAACGGGGAGCTAGAATAGCAATAGCCTGTCTCCATGCACATGACTTGATAAAGATCTTTCACACAAAGTCTGCTCACTTTCCTTTGAGCAGCAAGTGGCTGGACCCCTTTCGGGCATGCCATCACTTAGCTGTTTGGCATCCTGTGTACCTCTCAGTCCCATGCTAAAAGCAGAACTTAAAGATTCTAGTGGGGGAGACATAAGAAACAATGAGTAATGTATTATTACTATTCCTTATTTTTACTCATTACTTATTACCAAGTATTATATTTGATAAGTTAGAAGATGATAACTACAGATGGGGCAGTTAAGGACAAGCAGAGTAATGTGCCTGGGAGCACAGAAGATAGGAACAAAAGTGTTTTTCCATTTTTAAATAGCTCAGAATGTGATCCATCTTTGAGAATGTGAGATGTGAGCAAATATTTAAATGTCATGGAAGAGTGTTCGAGGCGAATAGAACAGGCCTAGGGCAAGAAGAGTGCCTGATGTGAGGAAGAGCAGAGAGGCAAAGGGGATGAGGGGGAGGAGGAAAGTTTACCGAGGACCCAAGGACCGGAGTGGCAGGTGGGGTGGTGGGTTCCATCTCACAGGACTTGAAAGTGTCAGGATTGATGCTGCCGCAGATCACTGGAGCATTTTAAACAGGTTGTACTCCAACATGCATTTTTACAAGATCACTGTGACTGCTGGATTGTGAACTGATTATAGAGGAACTGCTTGAGAGTTCGTGATAATCCAAGCAAGAGGAAAAGGTAGTTTGCGCAGGTGCACAGCAGAGACAGTTAACAGCAGCAGGTTCTGGATTCAGTCTGAAAGCAGAACCAGCTGCATCACTGAAGTGCTTGCTGCGTGCTGTGAAAGGTGCAGAGGAGACAAGAAGGACTGCAGGATTTTAGCCACACACCTGGGAACAATGAGGTTTCCATTAACTGAGAGGAGAAAGGGTGCAGGAAGAGCAGGTTAGATGGGAGCAATCAGAAGCTAGGTTTACACTTGCCAATTAACATCTAAGTAGAAATGTTGGGTCGACACGGAATACAGTTTGAGAAAAAGATGTGCTCTGCAGATATAAATTGGGGGGGGGGGGTTCAGCATATAGGCATCAGGGACCTGGATGGGGTTCACCACAAGACTTGGCAAAGGAGAGAGGAGGAGCAGGACTGGTTTCCTCAATGTTAAGAAGTCAGGGGAAAGACAAGCAGCCCGCTAGTCAGGAGGGTAACGAGAGTGGTTATTCTGGAGGGTAAATAAACAAGGGGGTAGAGGAAGGAGTGATCTACTACTAAGTGTTATTAACCTAATAAATAAGACTAGAAATTAACCACTGGACTGAGAAATGAGGGCATTAGTAATCTTGACCATAGGAGTTTTGGTGGCACAGAGAAGGCAAAATAAGACTGGTTTGGCTTAAGAGAAAATAGGGAAATATCTGGAAGTAGTGTGTATTGATAAATATTTCAACTGGTTGTGCTGAACAGGGAGCAAAAATGGAGGTTGGAGGCTGGTAGGTGATGTGGAATCAGGAGGATATTTCTTAAGGTGGGAGAAGCAACAGTGTGTTTTTTAATGTTTAAAAGAATGTTCCAGGAAAGATGCATAATTGATGAGGTAGGAGCTGGGCAATGTCCTTGAGAAAGGAGATGGAGTGGTGTCTTCCGGAGGAATGAGCTTTAGATAAGAGCTTGAATAATTTCCCCGAGGTTACTAATGGGAAGGTTGCAAACAGGCATTTCTGCAATAACGTGATAAATCCACCTTGCAATTTTTTTCATTTTCAAATTCATGCACTAAAAATAACTTTTTAAAAAAATGGATTGGGACCGACCACTCCAAATCTACCCAACTTTGCAAAATGCTCAGTCAATAACATTAATTCATGTACTTTTTTTTTTTTAAGTGATATTGTTACAGGGCATGCCCAAGGGTGACCTGGGTAGAAGTCCTCACTTGCATACTTAACTACTTCAGAGAAGACTCTGGTAAGCATACAGGGGAAAGTTGTTAAAGGTTACTCACAAGAGAAATGACAGTTGGGAGAACACAGAGAGTGAGAGACACAGAGAGAGGGTAATTGGCAATTGGTCAATATCTCCTACCAGTAATGGCCTCTGAGCTGGGACATCCGGACACGTTCAAAGCAGGCAAACCCAAGAGCAAGCAAGCCCCTTATGCTTGGCTTTATAACAAGCATGGCTGCTAACTCCACCCTTAGTTCCCAGCAACCCCCTGCTGCAAGAAGTCAAGGGTCAAGGTAGATTCATGGCATTGTGGGCATTGTAGTCCTTGGTGCCTGAGCTCTCTAGCAGGGAAGTGAGCGGGTAGGTGGGTGGGGTGGGGTCAGGGGAGCCCATAAAACTTCAGTGGGTGGAGTTCATTCAAGACATACCGTTCCTCCAACAATATTCCTAATAAAAACTACATCCCTAAATAAAGAACTTCACCTTTCCAATAAAGGGCAAAGGCAGCTGACAGACTGGGAAGGCTTAGCTGCCAAGTTACCCTGGGCACACTTGCAAGACACAACCTATGGCAAATTGAACCCAGGGCAAAGTGCCGCAAGCGAGCGCCTGAGGTGCAGTCTTCTTCTTCCGGTGCTTGCTCTTTCAGCCCATTTCAAGGGCGTCCCTCACATTCAGCTGCTCTTATCTGCTGGCAACAAAATATTAACGTGCTGGGGAGGAAATATCCCTTCAGAGTGTCCTCATAACGGTGACATCATCTCTCTACTTAGCGGTAATATTTGAGTCATTGCCCATTACAGAAACAGGCATCGGAGGAGAACAGACTGTAAGTGGGAACAGATGCTGGGAGGCAGGCGGATGTGGTGGTGGTAGACTGGAAGTTCTCGTTTGACTATTTCAATTTCTCAGTGAGAAAGTGTGTTAATTTCCAGTTCCTGAGTCTAGAGCTGAAATAGCTCCCCTCAGGAGTTACACGTCCGCGCCAAGGCTTCCCGACCCATGGAATGAGCCTGTCTAGAACCAGAGGACCAAGATAGTCCACCGGCTTAGTCTCCCGCTTCCCGCCAGGATGGCCGAATCGAGCACTATCCTATCTTTAGAGAAACCATAGCTATTAGTGGCACCAAGAAGAAACAGGCACAGATGCTTGATGGGACTCTGGCATCTGAAGGCACACCGATGTCACCTTTGGGTTTGCTGCTCTGGCATGTATACTTTTAATGGAGGCCTGGGCCAGAGAGGGTTCTCCAGCTGGTCACACCCACTGTAAGCAGCTCTGTATTTTTGCCCTCATGACCCAGACATCTAATGGTGCTCAGAGCATCTGTGACTGACCTGGAGATGGTTTGCATGCCGCCTGCAGTAAGTCCCAGTAAGAGAAGCACAGCTGAAGCCTCTTAGCATTTGGAGCAAAGCCAAGCTCTTATGCTAGTCACTCCCTTTCTTTTGGAAATAACCCTTGGCATGCCACTGAGAGCTTGACCCCAGGACCTTAGGTGACCGTGTGACCTCAACCGTCCCTCTTGGGCAAGGAATGATTTGGTCAGCCAAGCTGAAGGAAGCTTACTGGCCCAGCCTGTGCCCTCATGGGGTGGAAGCCCAGCACAACAGCTGTCAGCACTTACCCTGTGTGCTCTCCTGCTCCGCCCTCTCAGCCAGATCCACGGGGAATTCCCAATGAGCAGTTCATCAAGGGGGAAGAAGGTCAAATCTGGTGGACAGAGAGCTCTGCAAGTTTGGCTGGCACATCCTAAAATTACACAACGGGAGCTTCTCAGGCCCCCTCAGAGTTGAGGGACCATAGGGAAAGGAAGTCAGCCTCCACTTGGCCCATCCATATTGTACATTTTGCCTTGAAGGAGAGAGATGGCCTGAGAGCCAGAGGTCACCATGTCTCGGACAGTTATGACCAGTTCGAATAGGTGGTCAGCGGCGTGAAAGGTGTGGGGAAAAGGCACATACAGGATCATCTCAATGCAGGCCCTAAGATGGGAGATATTTGTACCTGCTTGCAACGGCCAAGACTTCCCACTGTGGCACAGGTTT